GAAGGCAGCAAACACTTTTCAGGCACTGTGTGTTACTCCATGGGAAAGACATCTAGATCAGCTTGAAAACTGCCTCAGTTTCTGCAATTGAATTAAATTCTAACCATATCTGGTATTGTTAATAAACCTGCAATTGAATGTTGGCTATTCTACTGTGTATCCCTCTGGCCTTGGTTTTCTCAGCTTGATTTCTCCACTTCTTGATCTCTGCACTGCTAATTGCCTACACACCTTTTCTCTTTCTCTCCTCAAAACGAATTATAACTGAAATATTGTCTGATTTTCACCAAATTCATTCCCTGCTACAGTATATCTGGTTAAAGATGGTCCCTTCAACTTCTGGTGAGATTTTTCAAGGGCTTGGGGAGGAGTGCTGGGATGACAAGGAGTAGAAAAGTCACTTCTGTCAATTCTTATCCATCAGCACTTCTTTGGATTTAAGCTCATATCAAAGGACAAAAATGAAATCGATACTTTCAAGATAATAAAGAAAAATGCCACAGTAAATAGACAGCATTGCAAAATTGGAAGAAATTAAATAGTGCCTTTGTCTGAACATTTTTAATCATTTTAAATTTGATCAAAGGGAACTCCTCCCAAACATGTTTGAAAGCCGTAATTGAAATACATGATTTAATTTCATTTTATGGATATATAATTTATTGTTCTAATATTTCCATTCTACTTTATTTAAACATTTTAAACAACACAGAGAGCCAGTAGAAGCATAATAATTTTTTTAATGTTTTTGCAACCATTTGTGCTGGCAGTGAAATTTCAGTCTTCCAATTACTGACTCTGTCTGTCCTAACAGTACTGATCTCAGTGGGCTCCTTCCAGAGTACAAAATATGAAAGTCTTTATGTGACAGTGACTGGGAAAGAAGTGAAGTTCCAAGATTTTGCCATTACAAAATTTTACATTGTTAGATTTCTAACTTTCACTAACGTCACGCAATTATTTCTGCAATAACAACTGTGGCAGAATTAATGGATGCCATAAAAATCCAAAGTACTGGAATACAAATGTGGGAATGTATCACAGCAAGCAACTTGGAAAAAAAACACGAGGAGTCTATGAGTTGTAGTAGAAGAAAAAACATATTTTATACAATCTATTTAACATCCACTGATTTGAGGGTGGATAGATGTGGACTTGGTGGCGGCTCACAGACTATGCAGAGGGGCAAGGTGGGCAACCCATTGAGATACAAGATGAAGAAAATGGGAAAAATACAACTCCAATGAGTTCTATACACTTGGTGCTTTTAATGTGACTAGATGTGACCAGAATGTTACCTGTGGTTTTCTCAAAATACTATTTATTTATTTATTTATTTACTGTATTTATTTACTGTATTTATACCGCACCCTTCTCAACCCTGTAGGGGACTCAAGGTGGCTGACATAGATAGGCAACAATTTGATGCCAAAAACACACATAATAAAAACATATACTGTACATTAAAACTATCTTTAAAAACATATAAAATCTTAAAACCACTTATTTAAAATCACACAATTCAATAACATAGTCCACAGCTGTTCCAATTTGTCATTGAACTATTCCATTTTTTCACACTGATACATTACTCAATGAATGCTTGGTTGCACATCAACATCTTTAGCCTTTTGCTGTCAATTGTGTGTGTTACAGGGGAGGTACGATATAAATAGAGAATCACTCTGTGTGGAGGCCTCTGGAGATATAAGACTTCAGTTGTGGCTGAATATTATTTGTGATAAGAAGCCTCTGAGGCTCATTACTATAAGAAATGCCCCCATGAATCAATAGAGTTAACTTCTTGCTTTAAAGAATGAATGATCACAGATACGCCCCATTTTAGACCCTGGGACATTATGCCATTTTTATAGTAAGAAATTTTAATGCCTTCCGTTCTGCTGTTATTAATGCTTTCCTGCTGGTGGTTTTATCCAATTTACATTGTGTTTATTACAATGTTTTATCTTTTTGCTGAACAGACTGAGCTCTGGCACCACGAGATGCAGAGCCAACCTTAAGAAGTGGAATCCATGTCATGCGAGTGAGGAGAACAGCAAACTACAGACCACCTGCTGCAATGCAACCTGAGCCCTGCCACATGCACAATGGAGGACCTTCTTGCAGCAACACCAGAGGCACTCCAAGTGGCTGGCTACTGGTCAAAGGATATTTAATCAACTACCAAGCTTGCAAACGTTGTGTTTTGTTTGTTTGTTTGTTAAAAATGCAATGCAACTGTTTGGTCTGCCCCTGACACGATAAATAAATAAATAAAATCTTTTTGCTTGCTTAATCTTTACCACTTTGAATTTTATTGCTAATTATTAGTTCAGAAAACACGAGTTGACGTATGGCTTGCCAATAAAACTGATATTCAATTGAACTCCCAAATACCAGTTTAGGTTTCTTTTCCTCTGATGGCACTTTCTTTAACCCTTACCTACAGCCTTGCTAGGTCCAAGGATCACCAACCTCCCTGTCACATTTGCTCACTTGTGGCTTTAACTGGTGGCTTTTCAGCTCACTACCATGTTGCTGGAGAGTTAAGCCCAATCATATCCAGGACAAATGCCAAGGTTGACTAAACTCATTTCACTTGAAGTAGACAAGTACTAGCGAATGATAGCAGCCTTATGGGACACGTTCTAGAGCCCCATTAGCAATAGGTAAGTATGCGTAAAATTGAAGCAGTCAAATAAATGTATATCATATCTTCATGGAGTATTTGCTTTTATGATGTGATTAAACACAGCTTGCTCTTCTTGTCCATTCTTCAAATTAGTGGTGCTAATTAGTGCTAATGACAATGTGGCTTTTGGTGATAACCACACCTGTCTATACAGAAGCTGACTGTCTGTCAGCACATTTTATTTAACAGATGCTGTTAAGAACACAGCCCAGCTGGTGAGCTGACAATCCTAGGATACAAAAATGCAATAGGAAGTTTTGCCCCATCTCTGCACTCAAAGTTATGTTTCCCTATCTGCTTATCTATTCATACAGAATGTTCAAAGGACAGATGTGTGTAAAATGGATTGGATTTTTTATTGTTTTATTTTAAAATAATAATAATATTTTGAATTAAGAAACAATAATATGCAAATTAAAATTAATTCCCTTGCCATGTTCTGCCATATTTGGTTAGCATTAATCTATAATGCTATCCCTATGATCCAATATTCTCTTTCATTCATAGTTTAGCTTTCACATGCTTTGATAATATCCTTGCCTACATAGTTTTGAAGAACATAAACAGAAAAAAATATGGAAACAATAGCCACGACTCTACCTTGGGAGACACATTCAACATAAGCATATCTACAAAATATTCTGTCCTCTTCCCTCTCCAGCTAATTCACCTTTAAAGCTGCTACAGCTCCTTAATATGACCATTTACTAGTGCTAAGGACAGAAAGTGACAGAGGAGCTTCCGGCTATATTCCTTCTATAAAGCCGAGCACACAGGAAGATGACATCGATGTGCATATAACTATAAGAACATGGTTTGAAGGTTCTCTGCCACTCACCATGCTTTTAATTGGACAGTAAATGGTTGTGTTGGGGCTGTGTGTGTGAGGGAGAGCAGTATGGTCAACAGAGGATTGTGACCACCACTATATCTGAAAAAGTGAGTTATTCAGTCACTTTTTCAGTTTAAAACTCATTGATAGGATTCAACCCACTGTTTTAGGAATCACTACTTGTGTCTCCCTTAATTCTAACCTTGGCAGTCATATCTTTCTACCATACAGAGTGTTCTATACACATACCTCAGCTAGAGCAACACACATCTTCTCCTTGCTTCCTATTTTTAATATATTGATAAGTAGCTTAAGAATAAAATGGCAGATTTATTAAAAATGTGCATAATAAACACAGTTTCCACAGACCATTTCCTGAAGATTAAAAGTTTCTTAAGGAAGAGATTTATCTGTAAGGCAATTTCATTATTCAGAACTTTTGGGTAAGGGGAAGAAAATTCCACAGATTGAATAGTATTTTCTTTCTATTTAGCAAATTGTTTCCAAAACTCCCTCAATTTTGCATTAAGTGGAAATACTATAGATTCAACATTCAGCTATTTCCTAGTCCTCTGAACTCAGTACCTTGGTCCTTCAAAACCAGGAAGTTTCTCAGTCTTATCAGAGGTAAGGGACCACACTGAATTTTCCCCAGACCACTGGGAGTTGCCTCTATTGGTACATTTATGACTGTTAAACTCTGGTTCTACCCAAAATCAGGGAAAAGACACCCAGAATATTTAAAGAATGATGCAACCATATTTTACCATCGCCATGATTGCTCTGCCAGATGAGGGATTTCAGTCAAAACAGACTGATGGGCATAAAAACTACAACTAAATAGAAGCAGTTGGCCACAGATGGCTTGTGTGCTCTGTAACCCCTTCCTTAAATCATATGTTGTCAGACCTCAAAAAACTAAATTAAATGGTAAAACAAAATGTTTTCTTCAAGAGGTTCTGCTATTATGCAAATTAGTCTGTTATAATAAAAGTATGTATATGATCTCCATGGACCACTGCTTCTAATGATAGCTGTTATAGTTACTCCTACAGATGCAAGGCAGTTCATAGAGAAAAGGGTCAAAGGTTCTGCTGTTCATTCCAAAGTCTTTTAAGTAGTGTTCTTAATCTGGTTGTTCAAAGCTAATATCTTTCTCAGCATCTACTGTAATGGCATTTCATCCATAAATTGGAGATATCCAAGATCCTAGGTTCAGGCCACCAGGGCCTACAACTAAGCTGAAAAACAAAAAAGTTTCCAATGCCATTATTAAAACTCCAGACAGTCTTTGTGCCCTCATCTTCACTTCAAATCTCAATGTTTTAGGCAGTGGAGAGAAATGATCAAAGGTGTCTGAAAGAGTTTGTGTGAACTTACTTTTGAAAATTCCACTTCATTATACAACAGGAAGGGCTACCTTCTGTCCTGACAAAAAGGATTTCAATATGATCCACATCCAAAATGTTTGCTTACCGGTGGTGTGCTGAAAATGTAGAATGACGAACCCTTCAGTGCCAGGAACTTGCATTTATAGAGCTGCGGAGAATCTGCTCCCTGGAGCCTCTCATTCACCCACCCCATATGTATCACCTGCAGAATAAAACTTTGAAACTCAGTCTACCAGCAATGACATACAAACATATGCATTTTTATATGTCTGGGGTGCCATCTTTTTTGTATTTACACATTTACATATTGAAGTATTTAATGAATAAATCCTCCATGTGTGTGTGGATTATAAAACATTGTTTCTCAATCGTGGCTCTTCTCTGTGTCCATAAAATGAATTACACCATAGAAATTGTGCAATGTTTAACAGAACTATAACAGTGTCACTATGGGGAATTAAATCAAGCTGGTCCACTTTCCAAACTGAGTAATTGGCAGTTGAATTTTTCTTCAACACTGACTATGAAACAGAGTCTTCTTCTCTCTGAAGGTAAAAGGGGACCAAGGATAAGCTATGTGGTGCCCAGTTTTTCCCCCTAATACCCTTCTACCAGTTTCCAACATATGCCTCTTGAGGCAATAGCCCCAGTTTTGCCTAATGAAAGTTCCAGCCTCGTTGCAATGGGAAATGGTGACTATTGGTAAGACTCCTATGAACATATGAATGGTTCTGGCCCAGTTTACCTGTCTGAACGTATCTCCTGCTATGAACCATCTTGCAGCTTAAGATCATCAGGAGAGGTCCTGCTCTCAATCCCGCCACTCTCACAAACACAGTTGGTGGGGACGAGAGACAGGGCCTTCTCAGTAGTGGCCCCCCGTCTATGAAACTCCCTCCCTGAGGATATCAGGTTGGTCACCTCCCTCCTGTCCTTCAGGAGGCAACTGAAGACCTAGCTGTAGGACCAGGCATTCGACTAGAGGCATTGACCAGAGGACAATGGCAGCTTGGAAAGGAAACTTGAACATTACGACATTGGATTTGTTTGGCTGGATCTTGGTTTTAGTTGAATGTTAAATGATTTTTTCATGATTTTTATAATGTTTTAATCAAGCTTTACTGTTTTTAATTGAATGTATATGTTGACAGCATCACTGATGCTTATGTAAAGCCGCCCTGAGTCCCCTTGTGGGAGAAGGGTATATTAGATTCCTATTGTTGGGCATATCACATCACTTGGAGCCTTTTCTCTTACTATGGTTGATGATGGTACAACAAAATTTGTGTGTGCTTTATTGTATTGCACTTCCAGGTGAGTGCTGTCACTTGAACTGAAGTGGAATTGCTCCTAGCTAAAGATTTTTATTTTTATTTTGCTTCTGTGATGAATGGTGACAATATGTTTATCTGAACCATCCAGACATCATCATAAAAGAATGGATGGATTTTAGGAGTATAGAAATTGTGTGTTAACCATTCAAAACTCATATGATGCCTATCACAAAGAACTGAAGGGGGAGGGGTGTTGTCTGTACAGCTTCTAATCACATGTGTAAGCCCAGATGCTTAGGAAAAAATGAACATTAGTAATACTGAGGTTCTACAGAGAGGACACAGATAATTATCTACCTTTTTCATTGGCACCACACTATAGGTATGCAAATCATAGTAATGCTCCTCACAATTGTTTGATGATACCCTGAGACCTGTCATGAACTTATGGAAATACAGACACTGAAGAATTATCAGCAGCAAGCCTTTCTCAGAAAAGCATAGCCCCAATACAAAAGACAGGCATGTTAGTAGGAGTGTGTTCAGTTATTTCTTGCCCTGTAAGAAATTGTTGCCTGCTGCAACTGGTGGTGCATCTATACTGAATTAGTGCAGTTTGATACAACTTTAACTGCAATGGCTCAATGCTATGGGAGCTATAGTTTGTTAAGGCACTTCTAGAACATTTTGGCAAACATTGTAAAACTACAGTTCCCATGATTCCATAGCATTGAGCAATGAAGTTAGATACCTGAAGGTCAAAAAGTTGAAAGTACTATAGCTCACAGCCCTGTGTGCACAGAAATCATCTTTATCCATACAAGGAGTGGATCTGATTCCTGACATTTTTTTATCATAGCTATGACCCATGTTCTATCAAACATTGATTTGAAGAGAACTCCAATATATACAAGTGGACTTTTGGAAAGTACAAGAGGTTGCAGTGGAAAAACCTGGTAACATCATATTCTACTATTAAAGTCTAAGTAGAGCCTTATAAGACCACATAGCACTTCACAAAGGAGCCTATTAGATGAATATTGCTTTGGTGACATCCTTTGTATATGAGTTGTAGCTTCCATTTTTTTAAAAAAGGTAGAAAATGTAATAATAATGTGAAGATTAAAAAATGGGCATCACTTTAATGCATAACTTATTTTGTAAGCTGTAAGTATCCTTATAATAAATATAAGCTGCTGAGCATAAAAATTGGGAACATTTTGTAAGATGATATGGTTGAAAATGAAAACAATGATTTTTCCAGAAGCATGTTCGGCCTTTAAGTGAGTAATTAATGGCTTGCCATAAAAAATTAAGAAGGCAAAGGAAGTCATAGCTTTAGGCCTCTTGGGTTGTTTATTTGGTCTATTTATTTATTCAACTGCAAATGAACAGTTGATGACAACAATTATATAGAATGGAAGAAAATCTTTAAAAAGTAAAGCTGTAGCAGATTCTCCTTCTATAGAATGTCGCATGTCTCATATGAATAAATAAATGACAATCAAGGTTTTCCAGGTTAAATATCTTAAATTCTAAAACTAGTTTGCATGGTAATTATATGGACCATTTTAAGTGCTGAAAAATCACCTGGTCCAATTGTCCAGCAAGTCATAGATATGAGAGGAAAATTAATTATTAATGACATTGCTTTTGAGTTCTAGAGCTATACTGTTAATTAGAAACTGTGCATTTAGGTGATTTCATTTTATCAACTGTCATTTCACAATTATTCCTCAGAATAGTTTACATCTATGTTTCTCCAGTTCTCCAAGACAAATTAGCAAGTGAGCATGGCCCTGATGGGCAAGTAGAAACGGATCCTGCACTTTGGGGGAGAACAATCTAGTCCAGGGGTTCTCAACCTGTGGGTCCCCAGATGTTTTGGCCTTCAACTCCCAGAAATCCTAACAGCTGGTAAACTGGCTGGGATTTCTGGGAGTTGTAGGCCAAAACATCTGGGGACCAACAGGTTGAGAACCACTGATCTAGTCTACTGTGTCCACCATTTTAAATCTCCCCCAGCATTCTTCCACAATGACTCACCCTGATGGAGTATTATTCCAGGGTGATTCAAACCACAGAAAAAGAGATTCCACCAAAATATTGGGAAGAATTTTCTGACAGTAAGAGTTGTTCAACTTGTAAAGACCAATAACGAATGGAAATTGAAGCCCATAGAAGAACTCAAAGAGGAAGATAAAGAAATAGGCTGGTTCCAATACCAACAAATAAAAGCATGCTTTAAAGAAGACCAGAAAATAGGATTCAATGAAAAAGACACTAGTTGGGATATTATAATGAAAAAAGAAAGAAAACTGATTAAAATATTGTACCAAACTTTATTAGAGTGGAGCACCGAGAAAGAACTTATTAAAGACAATATGATCAAGTGGGCCAGAGATATAGGCCACTCAATAATGCTAAAAGAATGGGAGCAAGTCTGGAAAGTCAAGCTAAAATATACAAGAGCTAGTAGCACTACAGAAAACTGGTACAAAATCTTTTATCGATGGCACCTAACACCTGTGCAACTCGCCAAATTCAATAAGAATTGCAATGGAACTTGCTGGAAGTGTAGAAAAGAGGCCGGAACATACTACCATTTATTTTGGCAATGCAAGAAAATAAAAAAAATTTGGCTGCAAGTTCACAAACATACACAAAATATAATTAAGGTAAAATTCCATATGAAACCGGAATACTACTTACTGAATATAATAGATCTAGACCTCAAAAGAAATGAAGAAAAAAATTTCTTCTACCTTTCCACGGCAGCGAGAATATTAATTGCGCAAAAATGGAAAGATAAAGAAACCCCAACAAAGGAGGAATGGATTAAAAAAATAATGGAATTTAGAGATCTGGACAAGCTCTCATACATGTTAGAGGAGCAGAAGAAAATAAAACAGATAAACTGGAAATCTCTAGGAGATTATTTTAGAGAAAAAATTAAGTTAGATATTTAAAGTGCTATGATCCAACTAATAAGGACAGATATAACCAACAAAAGAAGAACTACATAATCAGATGAACATCTCTCTGCGGACTGAACAGAAGACCAATTCACCGCCCCCACCTCCTCCCCATGCCTTCTTCCCTGCTCTTTTCCTGGCCCCCTCACCAATCCCCTACCCTTTCCTACCTCCCCAACCCCCCTCACCTCACTCACACCCCCCTTCTCTACTATACGACATACCTACCTATCCTTTCCAATCTTTCTATCTGAATGATTGTTCTCCCTCTTTCATTGTAAAAGGAAAATTAATAAATAACTAATAATAATAATAAAAAAACAGTGGAATGTGCTGTCGTGGAGTATGGAGATTTTCAGATAAAGGCTGAATGTTCTTTTTTGGAAGTGCTGTAATTGTGTGTTGCTGCATGGCAAAATGGGTAGGATTAGAGGGCTCTTGTGGTCTCTTCTAACTATGATTCCCGGAGGCTAAGATCACAGATGCATTGCAGGTCCATCAAAATTATGAATGCAGCTGCAATCAAAACCAGTGAGGGTGGCTTTTGAGTTGCTACTGGTATCTAGAAGGGAAATAATAACAGCTATCGTAGATCCGTCATTATGGTCCACATGCATAATGGTCCTCCAAGTGAAGTAAATAATAACAGCTACCTTGGCTTTAATGGCTGAGGAAGCATGCTCCACTGCTGCCCTTGATGCCACTGCCTGTCATGCAGGGGCTTTCCTGCCTCTGTAACTTATGGGAGAACTTTTCACCTGAGCGGTATGTGTGTTGTGGGGAGAGGGGCAGGGAGATCTGCTGAGGCCCTGATAAACTTGCTATTGACCATGCTAAGAAGGAAGGACCTTAATTTCATCAGCATAAGCCTGGCAACTTAGGGCCCTTCCAGGGCCCTTCCAGACAGAGCCCAAAATGTGGGCCCTGTCAGATGTTTACCTGTGGTGTCCTAACAATGCCCCAGGTAGAAGAAGATTAATTTGGGACAAAGCAGGAAAACCCTGCTTTTTAGATACCCCATTAGACCCAGGCTTTCCTGAAAGTTCTGGGTCTAATGGGATATGGGCCCTATGGGGTCTGACCCCTGGGTCAGTCCCCATAGCCCAATTCACTTCTTCGGGCTCCATGAATACTATAGCAATAAAGACTAAATCTATACCTGATCAATAATCACTTAATTGCTTTTAATATAACTGAAAAACAGAATTGTATACAGTTTTGTTATGCATAGGTTGCATCATCTAATTTAATGTTTGTTTGTTTTTTACAAGAATATCCAGTACTTCAATGTTTTGTGTGTATTTAGAAATCGAGTCACAAATCTAGCTGCCTCTTAAAATGACATAATATTTACTTTCAGTGTTATGTATATTGTGATAAAGTACACATGGCAGAATCAAAAAGTGTTAATATTTGGAGAGCTAGAATGGTAAACATTCCATAAGTTCCAACAAGATGATAAACACATCTCTGTTATCGAGTCAACATACCATTTTCACTCTCAGACAAAAATAAAAATTTAGTGTCATAGGGAAACATTGAAGTTATTTTTAAAAGTTGAAATGGAATTTAAAGTAGAGAGGAAGATAAGAAACTACTTTCACGGGAATGAAAATGATTTTGTCTCATGTTGAATATGTATTGCTACAAATTATAGAGAGAATTTTGATTTAAAGATAGGCAATGGACATGTACAAGGAAAGAACTTTGGATGTAATTTTATACATGTATAGGGAGAACAGAGAAAGACGCATTATACTGACTTAGATTATTGGTCCCTTTGATATAAGTGAAACACAAACTGCTTTCACACTACACAATTATAGGGCTATGACTCCAATTTAACTGCCATGGCTCCATGCCATAGAATCACGAATTTGCAGTATTTTGAATTCTCAGCCAGATCACTCTGCCTCACCAAACAATATACCCCAGGAGCCCACAGGAGGCATTTCAAGTGTCATAATTGTGCGGTATGAAAGGAAATTTCAATAGCTTCTGGCAATTTCATTTGCGATTAATTAAAATAGGAATTTCAACCATGGGAAACAGTTTCAAAAGAATGAAGATGCAGGAGTCCCCCGCTTAGGTGCTGAAAGTATTAATCTCTCTTGCATCCTATATTTCAACAGACTCCTGATAGGATCTATCATTTGTGTTATCTAACTATAAATATACATCCATTATAAAATTAAAATAAAGGTGATGGAAACATTTCTTTTTTCAGATCAATTTATGGAAGCATAATTGGCTAATTTTCTTGTGAGCCACCCACAATTTTCATAACGAGACATTGCTTTATTTAGAAAAATCATTTTATCAGACATATCAAATTCACATTCAACTGGAGTTTTTTGTTCCTTTTGCTGACTGAGTTTCCATGGTTTACTTGGGAATCCTGGCAAAATCAGCCTCATATTTGCTTGATTAGAAATATATTTGCTGACCAAACAAATGATATTTAAATGCTCCACTGTAGGATATTTTGAATTTAATGCATACTGTGTGTTCATCTCCCACTCTCCTGACATGAGTTTCCCTTGCGGGAAGCACAAGTTGAATTTCCAAAAAAGTCAAAAACAATTAAAAGGTCATACTCAGCTGAGGACACTGGTATGTGTGTGTGTTTGTGCAAGACTGTGTCTGGTGAACATCATACCTGGTCTGAAGAAGAACAGCATTTATTTGCCATCTTCATCTACAAAAAAGAAGAACAGAAATGGTTGACAGTGTATAGAAAAATCAGATTGTGCAAACAGGCATTCATGAGTTTCAAAGATTGTTACTAATTTATCCTATTTATAACAATTACACATAACAATTACATTTTCAATATTATTTGACATCATTACCAATATTATTTGATATCATTACCAATGGAAAAAAGCATAGTGCACTGGATGAAATGCTCAGAATCCCAGGATGATTAAAATTTTTAAAAACTGGTCATTCATCTACTATTTCCTATGATTTTAAATTCAGTGCAGCAAATGAAAAAAATATGAAAAGATTAAAAATGAGAACATTTTTAATCTTTTTCTTCATGTATTCTAAATAACAGATTAGAAATGTGTCTTTTTGGACTACAGCTTCCCGAATCACCTGGTTGACAGACTCTTAGAATTATGGTTCCAAAAATTAACTTTTCCAAGATGTGGCCTAAAGCACTGCCCCACTGTAGAAATATACAGCGTGACCACATATTTTAAAAAATCAGTATCTCTATTTTTATGCCATACTGTTTAGTTTCCAGAAAAACATCTAATGAAGCAATGGAAATGTACTAAATAAATAAAAATAAATAGCAGTACATTCAATGCACTTTCTTCATGACCCATAAAACATTGCTACTGGCAGGATTCTATCTTGAAAGGGGTGAGATCTGCTTTATATGAATCATTCTATACTACACAGCTAATCTGAATGTCTTCCAAAAATTGGAGTTGCAGGCTGTAAAAACAACCCTAGAAAGTTACTTATGGTTGCAAGGCCACACTTTGCTCACCCCGGTCTAGATATTCAGGTAAGGTTCTTCTAGATGCCTTGGATGGTTTCCAGTTCTACCTGAAACAACCTCTAGTATTGATGGGATGAAAACATCATATATCAAAACAATGGTTGATTCCACAGTTTTGCAATTATGAAATCCAGCTGTTACTCAGAACTGTTTCATCTCCAGGCAAAATAGGAAGATAAGAAGCAAAGACACAAAGTAACTAGACACTGTTTAAAACTTAGCAAAACTGGACGTGATTATATGTAGTGCAATGAGTAAGAAAATAACAAATCAGTCGTTTCTGTATGTCAAAGAATCACTCACTGGGTTTTTTTTAAAAAAATTGGTTGTATTTCTGATTGCATATTTTGTGGTGTGCTAACACCCGAACAAGTATGTTGTAGTTGTATTTAGGTCTGGAAGTCTTATTTATTTATTTGTGTGTATCTATGAATGGCTGTATGTGTATATGTGGGAAAGATACCATAACTTCTCATTACAATATAAACTGTGGTAGATATTAAAACTGTATTTCAAGAAAGGGAATAAGATTTCACTAGGGCCCCTTCCACACAGTTGTATAAAATTCACATTGAACTGGATTATATGGCAATGTAGACTCAGATAAACCAGTTCAAAGCAGATATTGTAGATTATCTGGGTTATATGGAAGTGTGGAAGGACCCTTAGTGACATACGGAACTACATAACCAGTTTAGAATATTAATGTATTAAAACATTTGTTAAAATATGTGGTTGTCTTGAGTACTCTGAAAGTTAATATAATGGTTAAAAGACTAGGGATCATATCACATTAAATAAAGTATTCAAATCTGTTGGGGTCCAGTGGGGGGCATGGGGAACCCATTGACCCATGCCCCACATTTCCCGGCTTCCCCCCATTGCTGCCAATGCAACACAGGAAACTTCCTACCAGAAGTAGATGTATATTGTGGGATGGGAGCTGGCAGGGTCTGTGGCAAAAGTGAAGAGGAACTGGCATACGACAGGCAATTTGGCCTGTCTGATGAGGTCATAAGGTACCAAATAAAGGGTTTATTTTTTCTTTCAAATAATGACCTCATTAAATGGACTCTTATCTTAGGATAATGATGCTTTATCCAAAAGATGGGAAGATATTGTTCAAAGGATAAGTGATGCGTTTTGAACACTCTAGTATACTATATTGAAATACTAGAAGAAGATACTTGCATCATCTAGAACAGTGGTTCTCAACCTGTGGGTTCCCAGAAATCCTGACAGCTGGTAAACTGACTGGGATTTCTGGGAGCTGTAGGCCAAAACACCTGGGGACCCACAGGTTGAGAACCATTGATCTAGAACTATTCGTAGGGTGTAGGTGCATTTTAAACAGCTATTTCACTCTTTCTGTCCTGCCTCATGTTTATATGTGCCCTGCTGTCCTTATACTTACATATTTTTTTTTAATTCCTGAGTTGAATGAAGTAATAAGTAGATAAAAAATATTGATCTTTCCAAGCTTGGACACCGGAATTCCTTTATGAATAGCAAACTAAAGGAATACTGCTTTAGTAAATCTGTCTAATTGTTGTCCAATTTCTCATGCGGAAAAACCGTTTTAGTTAAGTAATCTTCTGGGATTCAGCTTGATAAGGTTATTAAAACTATTTACCCCCTATTGATCCTTCTTACAATCCATACTTTTCTGGTGTTAGTAGTGACCGTTCCCATTCCATTTTCTATTGTAGACTTTTTAAAAACACTGAGTTGATAGAGGTTTTGTTACAAAGAATCAGTACTAGTAAAGGTATCACATTCTCAGTAGTCCAGTGGATATAAGTTATACTAATATTCAGCATGTTGAAAAAGCATCACTTTCTGAATGGGACAGAGGTAGAACACAAACTTATTCTGAAAGTGTACTTTTAGAAACTATTCCTGTTCTTCTCACTTCAGTCACTGAATCATTTATGGATAAATGTAAATAATTGATGAGCAGGATAAAGAAACACCTTTAAAAAAAAGATCACAACAGCAGTTCCTATGCACACTTACCTGCCATTAAGAGTCCTTCCATAAAGCCCTATATCCAGAATATCAAGGCAGAAAATCCCACAATATCTACTTTGAATTGGATTATCTGAGTCCGCACTCATATAATGTGGATTTTCTGCCTTGATATTCTTGCATATAGGGCTGTGTGGAAGGGCCCTGAGTACCACTGATATTTGTGGACTGCATTTCTACATAAACAAATATAACAATAATAATTTTCCTAATCATTAAAATAAATGCTATCTTGACTTCATTGCTCTAGTGACTGTATGCTGATACAGATATACCAAAAAAAAAAACCCTCAAAAAACAAAGAAAACTTAACAGTTTTTATAAAGTAACAAATGCTCTATCAGTACAGTGAGAATGTATTGCTCTTTAAGAAATAACATATGTTTGACATAAAGTTGAAGAGTCAGATTTGCTTTCTTTATATGGGAGTAACATTTAATTCCACTAGAGGTTTGCCAGCTCTGCCATTTGCATAAGGGGGAATCAAAAATCCCTCTGTGCACCTGGAAGAGCAATGGCGTGCAATTCCAGCCATACACTGTATTTCTATGCTTCCACAAGAACAGGACACAGACATCTGTCACACCACATCTTCCTAGAAATATACTAGTTCATCTGTTCCAGACTCTTAAGGGGGTCTCAGAACGAAGATGTATGAGAGGCATGGCTTGAAAACTAACCTGTATGTTTTCACTCGGACATTTCACTTTAGCTTGACTGGCTGTATAAACATCATAATTTTAAATGGATTTTAGATTTGTTTAAATTTCTGTGGTGCTTGAATGTTAAATATGCAATGGTTGATTGGTTGCATTATCATTTAATTTTGTTTACCTGTGATAATTTTAAATTTTGTTATAGTTGTGAAATTTCTTTTGGGATCTGGGGATTTGTTTATTTCTCTTTTTAGTGTATTCTGGCATTGAGTGTTTGCCATTTTTTTGTTGGAAACCACCCTTAGTCCCTTTGGGGAGATAGGACAGTATATAAATAAGGTTTATTATTTTGAAAAGGTAATTTCCCAAGGCACTCCTCCCACAAATCCTTTGTCTTGTGACCTCATCACAAAGGCCCATGGATTCACCATGCAGTGTGGTAAATCCATACAGTCCCAGTGGGGGTGAGGTGGGCATAGAGAACCCATTGCTTCACACCTTGCATCGCTTGGCTTACCTTGACTCCAATCCCATGGGGGTATTCATCACCACCCGTCTTCCCCATTACTCCTAAGGCAACACAGGAAAGCTCCTGTGTTGCTGCAGTGGAAACATGTGCTGCTTGCTCTCTTCTTTCAGCATGGAGCCTGGCCAGAAGTATATGTGCATCATGTAATGAACTCCATGTCAGAAGTTGAGAGAAAGTGGTGTACAACAGGCAAATCAGCCATTCTAATGAGGTTGTTGAAGAATCCCTTCCCCTTGAGAGCCAGGCATTGAGGAAATAAGATAATTGAGATTGGGCTGTAGACACACATTTGGGTGATTTGGTATAGCAATAATTGTGGGGTGTTCTGGTTTACCACAAGTTGCTAAGAAACTCAACCAAATGCTCCTGCATCAGTCCAGAGCTCTGCACAGACTGCTGTTTTTATTATTTTAATGACCTTTCACTAGGGCTGAGCAGAACTTTAAAAGTGAGCAATGTAGTCCTGATGGATCAGACCAAATGCCTGCCTAGATTAATGTAGTACCCAGTTTCCTACATGACTAGCCAGATGCCTATGGGGAGTCCACAGCCAGGACATGGACCATTTCTCTTGCGGAAAAATCTTTTAGTTAAGAAATCCCTCTTTCAGCATTGTCTCCCAGGATATGGTCCTCTCTGTAAGCTGTGGAAGAGACACAGAGAAAGAATATGCAGTATTTCATAATAGAAGTGGCTTTCCAGACATTTGAGGGGACCTGTGCAATCTCCAGATAGCTAAAAAAGATCTGGGACAAAGACGCTCCTCAGCCTTCTGATAGTGAAACCTGTGCAGTATTTGAATTATACGTGGAAATCTGAACTGAAGTCCAAATTATCTGAAGGAGCACAGTTTGACAAACCCTATTCTAGACTGATGTTGAGATCTTCCTTCTCCTTTCTCTCTCCTCTTCCCCTCCTCCTCGTTGTCCTCCTCCTTCTCCTTTTTCTTCTTCCTCCTCCTTTCTCCC